TCAAGCGTGCTGACAAGAAAGCCCCTTCTGGCTATTCGATGTCACCCGGCATGTCACCACCATGGAAGTTAGCCCCGGATGGCCCTATGAGCTCAATGGATGATCCTGATCTGCCTCGCGAGGCCTTTGAGAGTGTCCAAAGTGAAGGCAAGACCTTGAGTTTGCCTCCGGGAGTGTCCAGTGTTGAAGTGTGGGGGAAAACCCTCATCACCGCCGGCCGCTTCAAAGGAGCCAACATGTCATATGAAGAGTTGTGGCCCAACTCGGATCCATCCGTTGTGCAGTATAAGCAGTGGTGTTGCGCACGTGCCTTCTCGTTGACCGGCACCATGCGCGACATGTCTCAATATTTGCTTTTCATGAATGGCAAGAGCTCGAGTTCCCAGTTCTCGGATGGTCCAATCATTCCGGGATCTGATGTCCGCCGTCAGTACAAGACGGCAAAGTGAAGTGCCCGTTTTGCATCAAAGCCCGCCTAGAGCAACCTTTTTAGAAGATAAAAAAATAGAATATAAGCAGTGTCAATTGGCCATGTCTGCCACCAGTCACTCGCAGGGCTGTCGTGCTCTTCCGTTCGTCCGAAGGCCATTTCGCGACTCGAGGCATCGCAGGAAAAAGGCCGCCTGGTCCGCAGGGTCGGACACCTCGGCAGGTGTTTTGTGATATATATATATATATATATAAGGCGACCCCCTGGCCCTGGCTGGGTAGACTGGTCTATTTCCCGAACCTTCCACGAGGCCGAACTGGGAGGTCTCCCTACTTTACACTCCTTTGAGTCTTGGGTCAACTCTTCGATGCCGTTCCTGGTCAATGGGGCTTGGAAAAGAAACAGCCACCACAATCTCAAGCAGCACAGGTAGAAAACACAACCAATCGTGCGGATTCAACCTAACCTAGGACTGTTTAGTGAGCCTGCTACCCCCAACAAATATACACCTGTCACTGTCACCACAAGATCATTTGGATTTCATCTTCCAGGGATCTAGACCCTACAGGCGAGCCCCCCACATCAACCCAAAGGCTCCCATTGGGGAACTCATTGGCCTCACGGCCACCCCCAATGACGCCCAATGACACACAGCTCCAAGATTTGCTCGTCAAAGGGGTAGTGCTCATAGGACAGGGTGACGTCAAAGCTGGTCTTTCGGCGGTCTACCCAAATGGCTTCCAGATGCTTGTGTGACGGCATGTAAATCCTGGGATCCGACATGGAACATCGGGATCCGTTCGATTTGCAGCCGGTTCCGTTTGGTAGGGAAGGCCGGATCTAAGAAAGATCCAAATGGAATGGTCGTTTCATCCCAAAAAGCTGGTGACCTCCTGGGGCCCCTGAGCTTCTCAGCGGGTCCCCCAGACTGCGCCGGGCATCACCGGGTCGAACTCCGTCTTCCCCAAGGGGTTGTCGGACGTCTTCACAAAGAGGTCCGTGGGGATGGGGGTCCACACATCGCCGGAGACCACCAGGCCCAGGTATTGGCCATAGACCCTGGCAGGACCCGGAGAGAGTGGGGTAAGACTGTAGTCACTGTAGCCCTCCGACCAGCAAAGTGTTGTGGATGTGCATATTATATTACACACACATATCTCCATAATATACTATATTACAGTATACCATGTTGTATATCTATATATATATATATATATCTGTGTGTGGGTTTATATATATATAATAACCTCAAATAGACACCTTCTGACCCCCCCACCCCAAATAATTATATAACCTCTGGTTAGGTCCAATACTCAAGGCCTAAGGCCATTTGGAGTCCCAGGCCTGGTGGCCTCAAAAAAAGGCTTTTGCGCTTTGGCCCAAGACCATACCTGAGAGGCGGTCGCAATGTCAAGAAGTCTAAGAGGATATATACCAAGTTGTTAGCTGGTAGAATTCCATAGAGTTAAGCCATGATTTCGGAATTGAATCCACAGCAGGGGGAATTGAGTCCATGGATTTCTCACTCCTCTTCAGACGTTGGAGAAACCTGGGGCTACCGCCCAACGATTTGATCCTTCTTCGGTCCAAACGACCCTGCAGGTCTGAGGCAGCCGTCTTTCGGGCATCCAGGTACTCCTGGGAAGTGCAGGCATTGAGACTACAAGTCTCATCCACCTGGCAGGGTGATTTCGGCTCAAACAGTCGGCAGTTGTCCCTCAAGACACCTCCAATTTTCAGTGTCGAAGTTCTGCCACGTCTTCACTTTGACCCTCACAGCGAACCAAAAAAATCGTAGTCATAAGCTAACCGAGAGCCGTACCAGGTCTGACTCCAAATCATGCCTCACTAAGACCGGTTGAACCACTTACAATTGGCGTCGTGTATGGCACGATCCGGGTCAGGTTCCCAGCGCTCCGCTCGCATCCTTCGCATGAGATGTCCCCGACCTTCTGCTGAGATGCATTCGCCCAGCGCAAATCCTCCCATTCAATGGACATGATGGCATACACCGTGACCACCTCGCGAGTCTCATCGAAGTCTTTCAGGTCGGACAAATACATCGTGAAGTTCACCGCGTTCGCGCCCGGCGCCCCCACAGGAGGCAAACGCATCCTGGGGTCGCCAAGGAACCTACTGCCAAAGACCGAAGACTGGTTCGGTGCTGGTGCAATGGCCCGGTTCGGTGCTGGTTCTTCTCTAAACGTTGTTCCAAGTCAAAAATACCACTGCATAACTCCAAAACATACTTGTTTTCCTCTTGCTAGGCTGCGCTGGGATTTGGAAATGCGGGGAGGTCCTAAACACTCTCAACTCACTAGGGGAGGCTGTGACTCCAGCTCTAGAATCAGCCGCGTGAGGATGATTGTCCCACTACAGAAACTTCCAGTCCAAGCATCTCACTGCCAGAGTTCACCTGAAAGTTTCCAGCACTCAGCCGCAAGAGCATAAGAAACATCCATGGCGACATGGCCATGGCAACGGATCGGGTAGAGGTCAAAGCCTGAATCCCAGCCCATCGAATCCTTTAACAGTTAACATCCCCGACTGGTCAGTTCTAGTCATTTGGGAGGTCCACTAGCCGTTGGACGGAGTTTCCGAGTAGGGTCGGCCCCACTTCGAATGGAAAGAAATCGATTCTTTGACGTCATGGCGGATGGGATGGGATGCCATGTGATGCCACGATGCCCAGCCCGGCTGTGTCAAAGGATGAGACCAACACCTCCGCCTCTCCGCCTCAGGCGGTGTTCGAGCCAGGCAACGCCAGTGGTCAGCTGGAAAACAAAGTTTGCCTTTTCCTCCGACAGTCTGGCTTTTTCATCATGACTAGGGAGTGCAGTAGAAGATTGACAGACTTCGGACCTGTCCCATCCTTTTCCATCCTCCTTGACTCCTCTTCTCCAATGGAAACATCTCTTCGACCCAAGACCCACATCTTCGATGCCGCCTGCCGAGCCTGGGCACTTGGGCGCCAGACCTTACGAGCGACATCGCCAGACCATCCAAGCATCATGGGGAGTGTAGCACTCCCTGAGAGCCCAAATGACTCATTACTTGTGAGGGTCTGAGAACAGGGTAGTACCAAAGACTTCAACCAACTTAAGGAAAAACGATGAAAACCAATATACTGTAAATCTTTGGTTGGAGGCTGGACCCCCCCCTCTTCACCCACACCGGTATAAAGACAGATCTGCAGGCTCAGCTAAGCTTGCCAACCAGAAACGACCAGGAGCCTGGCTCGCCCGAAAAGACCTTACCGCTTCCACCACCCGAGCCACCCGCCTCAGGCCGGCCCAAGCTCGAGTCCTCGAAGTCACAGTCGCGAAGTCCGGACGAGGTCGGCACTCGGTGTCCTTCTTCGGTTTCCGACCCACCCCGTGGAGGGTCCGCCCCTCCCTGCGCAGCTCCTTCCTGCGGATTCCCGCCGTCCTTGGATTCCAAGACGTCCTCCCAACAGCCGCAGGTCCTGTTCTCTGGCCCGCGCACTTTGACAAACGCGCAAACTGGGAAGGGTGCTCCAAATGAAACGTGCGGACTCTGGCCCTTTGGCTGTGTTTATAGGTGGTGCAAGATACGGCACAATGGACACCGGACACATAGGAGACAAAGACTCCAAGGCAGGCCAATAGCATATGTATACAATAAGTGGTAAGCTCTTCTTCCAGTTCCTAGGAGAATCTCGGATCAACGCAAACGAAGAAAGGGGGGGCCTCAGACCTTTACACAGCCAACCTCTTGAGGTGCATGGCGACCGGGGATGAACTCAGCCGGTCGCCCTACTCAGAGCTGTCCCACTCAAGCCCCAAAGAACGAGAAACTCCCAGAGTTGTATCCAAGAATGGACGAAGTGCACGGACAAACCGGCCAAGGGCGCCTCCCCGCTTTGGGTATCAAACCTGGCCCCCGACAAAATGTGTAACAATCACATCTAAACATGGACCCACCCCAGGCCCTTGAAGACGAATTCTTAGCGGGTGCTAGTTAAGCCGTTGTGCCAACTGGTCTGGGGTGGAGTACCTGGAGGCCTTCCCCTGACATCCCTCTCCTCCCCAGCTCCGCTAGGCATCGGCCGAAACGGCCCTGGGAGGGACGCGGACAGTCCGCGTTCGGTGCGGCTGGGCGGTTTGTTCCCGAACAGCTTACCTCTTGGGGCTCTGTATATCGAAACAAAAGGGTGCCGTTGAAACTGTTTGGGGCCTATGCTGGTATCAATTGTCCCTTTTTGTTGGGTTTTGTGAGGCCCCTTGATCTATACAACCAAAAAACATCTCAATGTAGCTAAAATATGCCATACATGGATGGTCTGGGTGGTGTCATTGTGCTGTTTGGTGTGGTTTGTCAGTTCTGTCCTTTCTCTTGGTATTTGACTTCGTTGCCCCAGAATACAACAACATGAATTCAAGGACCCATAATTAGTACCATCACTAGGCCTCTGATGGTGCCTGGAATGCTGGCAAATGTCTAGCACTGCGGTGAACGCAATTTTTGCTGGATCGCTTGGTCAATCCTGAAGCCGCTCTGCGAGATGGTGGACACAGCTTGTTCCGACCGCTCCAGACAGCACGAGAGCTCTCCAAACGTGGTCGTATGCAGTTTAAGGCTCAAAAAGCTCACGGACCTCGCTTGTTCAAAAGAACTCCAATGAACTCCATGCCAACTCGAGCCAAGTGTATCGTTGTAGCTGACGCCCGGCCCTAGGCAATGCGCATGAGCAGGTGAAAGCCCTCCGGGCTCTCAAAGGGCTCAGAAATCTCGCCCATGGACAATGAGAAGCCCACCTCCTGCTTCGAATGATTTCAACAGTGCAGAGTCACCATGAAACCACTTAGGGTCACCACAGTTCTCAAGACTCAAGAACCTCCTTCACTCCTTCCGACTCCTTCCCCTTCTTTCGTCCTCATCTCGTCTCCGAAGACCACCCCAACCGACCGCCCGGGAGCCGCCGACCCGTTCACCCCGCCCGCTTGGGGGTCCTCCAGCTCGGGAGCCAAAGCACCCAAGGTCACCTTGCCCAGATCGCCCCCCGTGGTGCTGGCGCCCACCTCATCGGAGACCTCCCTGGCAGCGGCGGTTCAACCGGCGTCGTTCTGAAACCGTTGAACCGTTGAACCGGCGACGGGACGGCTGCCGCTCGGCGGCTTCGGGGTCTTCGGCTACCAGCAAAAATCCGTCCTGGAGAAGCCTGAGTTCTTGTGCTAAGTGAACGATGAACCTGCCGACATGAGGGCAAAAATAAAGGAAGCCATGCAAGGTCGACCACTTGCAAGAAACCAACCACAAACGGCCGAATCCTGGGGACAGTGATGGCAGAAAATAGCGTGCCAAAACCTTTTCGGGTATTCCGATCAAACCTGACCTTGCCTTCAGCTTCAGCTGCCAAAAAGCAAAAAGTTTGACAAATATACTGCAAATGTACAGTACTTCAACCAACGTCCGGTGCCCAAGGACACAGAATGCCAAAGCATCCCTGACTTCATGCCACAACTCAATGATGAACATCGCTTATGGGGTTGGGGATATTCACGTTCAACCGCCCAAGAAATGCAAAAACCGCTGTGGTGCAGGCGGCGCAGGCGTGCTTTTTTCTCACTCTAGAAGCCCCAAGCAGCGCCTCGTCCGCAGCAAAATCCTCAAGCTGGACACTGCGAGTCGGTCCTCCTCTCGAGCGAAGCAGAGTTCCGGCGGCCGCCAGCGCTTTCGGCCTGGGGTCTGAATCTCCTGGCGATAGCCTTCCATGTCACCGTGTCCCGGATGTCGATACCCCAGCAGGCCGAAGCAAACGCGCCAGCTCCAATCCTCCAGAGTCGATGACGTGTCTGCCCACATCCTCAGGAGCAAGGCCTCACAGGTCGCCGCCAGGCACGGTGGATTCTCCGGAAATCGATCTGCCAGCGCTTCAAAGATCTCAGGATCCATCAAGGCGGCATTCAGGTACAAGGACGGGAAGGAATGCTCTGCCGCAACCTCGTTGGGTGGCAACCACAAGCTGACGCCCAGCAGCAGGCGCACCTTCCGCGGTAAAAGCTGCCTCTTGGGGGTGCGATCCCAGGGCGGCAGCAGTGCAGAGCTAACCTCCAGCACGCACGCGCAGGTACGACGCCACCGGGACAAGCCCTCGCTGTGCAGCGACCAGACCACCCTCGGGATCGGCAGCTCGCGGTAGCTCAGCGCGTGCCGATCGGGTGCGAAGCTGGGCAGGCGCGGCTTGAAGCCCCGGAAGCCTTCGGCTGCAAAGTGGTTGAGGCACTCAGACAGGTGGCAGAGCTCTGCCAAGCTGCGAGTGTCCACCTGCAGCAGTTGTATCGTCTCCACCCCAGCACGCCGGAGGGGCTGAACGAAGCGTCGCCATTCCGGCCACACGCCACGCAGGAAGAGCAGCAAGGGGCAAACCGCGGGCAGCACATTTCCGAGATCCAGTAGAGATAGAAAGCTCAGAACATGCTCAAGGCTGACATCATCCAGAGCAAACAGCTTTGCGTTTCCAGGGTCCTTCGGACGAGGCACATCTTTCCAGTCATACTCCAAATGAGCCTCAGTCTTTTCGCTGGTCACCTGCCCTGAGGCCTGCTCCGACTGTGGCTCTGGCAAGTCATCATAGAGGCCGGCCATGAGGGTGGCTCCACTACAAAAAGAAATTGCAGTCAAAAGCGCCCCAAGTTCGCCATGGAACCCCCCTCCATTCTTCAACTACGTAGCACTTTATATCTTCAAGACTTCGCCCTGGGAGAAGATTCACAAAAGCCCACCTGCAGTGCCTGGAAGTGACCTCTACTTGAGATTCTAGTGGTCCAGAAATATGCATGCTACGACGGCTATGTGGTGAGACCGCCGCCACTGAAGCCATTGAGCCAAAGCCCATCACTGGAAGAAAGGTGTTGGTAAACCACCTGAAATTTAATCTCTTTATACCTAGAACTGGACCACCAACCACTCAAAATAAGGTCTTTTCATGTCTTTTCCTAGTCTTTACGGTGTTGGGGAGTGGCTTCACTCCATCTACAGGGTCCTTCCGAAGGTGCCCCTGACACTACTGGCTCCAAGCCACTTGGCTGGTTCTGCCACAGGAGAGCTCATGATATGACAAACCCTTGACCAAACAAAATGATCCAAAACAGCGCCAAATGCACACCGCTAGGAGATACCGACCAACTCCAACCAACCGCCCGGCCTGGCCTAGCAAAGGCTGCAAAAGCACGTTGTTGGGAGGGCACATCTGGAGTCATTGCCAGCCTGAGAGGCAGCTGACTAAGACAAATACAGTACCTTACACCTGTCACGTCAAGGATGAGGCAAATGCTCAGATTATTGCCAAACATTGGGTCATCTTCCCCGCTTGCTGCTAGGAGCTACCCTGAGGTTGGACAGGTCAGAACGTCCTCTTTCTGGGCTGTGAGGGTCCTTCACAAAGTCCCCATGGTGTGTGTGTGTGTAGCAGTGCATGTGGTGCTCCAACACGCCCAGCAGCGCCCCTGCCCATGGCAGAAGCAGTACAGTATCCACACTTGGTTTGTCAGTACTTTATCGGAAGCAGCTGCCATCCATTGCTCCCCATGGTCCTCAAAGCTCCTCGTATTCTCGTTCCAGGACCTGAACTAAGCGACCTTTGAAAACCGCTAAGCGCACCCGCGGGGACGAGAGGGCAGCTAAAAACCCTTTCTTCGCTCCTGACACAACTAGCAAACGTGAGAGCTCCTCGATTGGTGACTGGGTGGGTGGGCCAGAGCGGGGGGGTAGGGAGCCTTCTGCCCAGGCCACTTCTTCCGGATGTTCGCCAGGGCCAGCTTCGCGCGCCCGGCGGTGACCTTCCGAGAGCCGAGAGCGGTCTTTTCGGCGGTGTCGAAGGAAGGGGCCCCCAACCAGGTTGCCTGGGAAAGCATTTTGCAATACAGCGTGGGCAACTTCCAAAGGCACCAACCCAGAAAGTCCCAAATTCACAGAATCCTTGGATCGAGCCCAAATGCACTTCACAGCCTGCCGTTCCTAGAAATGTCTACCGCCTTTTGCAACATTCTAGAAGCAAACAGTTGGACAGTTAAATTGCTACAATTCCCAAGTTCCCAGCCCTGGGAAATCATCAGGAACAGGAGCGGCCGAGGGGTCCATCATTCGTTCTCGCAACTGGGACGATGTCCACCAATGATCGAAGCCAAGATCACGGAAGATCGAAGAAGATCGAACATGGATGGATCATTTCGGTGCCCAACATCCAAAAAACAACAGGGATCACCAGCTTTTCTGCAGTGCGTTTTCGCGCACGGATTGCCGGAGATCAAGGCATGCCTTGACTTCTTTACCATTTGCATCCTTGGGGTCTTTGCCTTGGCTCACTGAAGACACACAAACAGCAGTGAATCCGTGTGCTATGTATGAAATGTGTTTATCTTGCGCGCATCACTCACCAACAGGGCAACCGGGCTCTAGCTGTACGAACTTCCAGCACCAAGACCCTGACCCAAAAGTTCCTGAAAGAAAACTCTATATTCGGGGTAACCGACCATGGCGGTATGACAGGTGACAAGGATTCCATGCTTATGCTCCCAGTACGCTCTTCACTGCCACAAAGGGTCCATAATGGACCCAGCAAATTAGTGATGTTGGAGAACTTTTGCTCCAAACGAAAGCCGGACTTCCTTCGCTCTGCCAATATTCAATATGTTTGGCACTGAAGTCCGCCATGAACTAACATTGTCAGGTAACATTTGGCAAAGAGGCCAACAAAAGCTCCCCAAAATACTACAGTAAAGCTAAGTTAGTAGCTACTTCCACCTTGGAGAATTACCAGATACCGAATCAGCCTCGCCCAGCTGGGTGAATGAAAGCAAGCCGACCTACACTCCAACCTGTTCATCTACCCATCACCCCATCGCCCGACCAACGAGCGTCTGCCCGCGTGCTTTTTGATGATCTGCAGTAGTTGGACCTGGCTCATGGCATGGCATACACCCAGACCTTCCGCTTTTCCGAGTCACAAGTCCAGTAAAATACACAGCCATGCTCTTAATGGACACATCCTGCACCGCCTCAAGACCATCCCTCAGAAAGGCATCCTAAAATATCCTGCAAAGAATATGCCCATGGGTAATTTGAGGTGTTGCAGTGGTCGATGACCAAATTCACGGTTGCTTTGCCCCCAACACTTCCAGCATGCAGTGCTGTGCCAGGCGTCCCCCCTTACAACATGTGACACATACACTCCCTGGAAGCATGATGGAAGTGGAAAACGGTCCTTTGGAAGACCATTTTCCTCTCTCCGATGATTCCAAGGGGCGTCGTTTGCAAGGGATGAGCCTCCACCCCCTCAAGCCAAATCCCAGCCGACAGAACACACCCAACCCCTTTTCGGACGCCAAAATGCCTTCTTGGAGTTACTGAAGTCAGTCCGTCGTAGATGGACCATACTGAGACTGACCCAACCCACTCATCTGAACTCAGGAGACCATGGGCCCCCTAAAACCCCTCACCTCGGTGAGGTCCGCCGCCCGCTTGCGCTTCCCCGAGCGGTCGCCGAGGCCAGGGCCTGCCTGGTCCTCACGGGCAGAGCGACTCGAGGAGGGCCAGACCGGGGAGAGCCCAATCCCCCCCGCCTGGGGCGGAAGCGCTCCCAAGGAGTGGCTTTTTTGAGGGGGGCGGAAGGAGTGGACAAAGAAACAGTTTGGACGTAAGAACATCGCCAATAGAAAGGATGCGCCACCTCAACTGACCCTCAACAGCTACCTTCGAAAAATCTACAATCAAGGGGATAAACAAACTGAAAGTGCTCTCTTCACGACAAGTTGTCTTCAAGAAGAAACGGAACTTGTTCCATTGGTTGGAAGCACATCGACGTGTTCACATTCTGTGGTTTTGGTTCACTATGTTCAGATTACGTTCAAAAAGTGACAACACGCAAGCTTATATTAATGTTTCCATGCACATTGCTCATCCAATCTGTGGCGGATTTGACCATCACTCATCAGCTGCACGAAGAGTTGACACAACTCAATCGAAAGTTGTTGCTGTCCAAATTGGCTCCAGCTTCCAACAAAGGCCCCCTCCTTTTCTACCACGACCCACACCCAACCGTTTGTGAGGTCCAAGCGCCACCCTTGAACCCTGACAAAGAAAATGCAAAATGAAATCAAAAATGACATCAAAGTGAGTTTCTGGTGTTTCAGCCCCTTTCCCCCCAGGAAAAAAAATATATTTATGAAAAAAAGCTGTTGCTATCTCTGGAGTTTTCAAAAATATCTATTTTTAGGAAATAAATAGGAATAAAATAGGGCCCCAAAATAGGAATAAAATAGGGCAGAAAACAAGAACAGACATGAAATAGGAAACAAATAGGATCGAATATTTCAGATTTACCGGAAGGCAGGTGGCTCATTCCGATGAGACGCATGGTCAGACACAAGTGAATGAAACTGGATATTTAATAGCAGTGCGGCAATGCACAGTTAGGCCGGCATTCGATTGGACTGATTAGATTAGATTAGATCTAATTATGTCCTTTCATTTTCCTTTAAAGATTGATTACTTCCTTTCATTTTCCTTTAAACAATTAAAACTTCCTTCAATGTTCCTTTTAAACGTTATTCTTTTAATTTCCCTTTAAACATATAAATTCCTTTCATTTTCCTTTAAAAATGATTAATGCCTTTCATGTTCAATTAAAAATGATAAATTTATGTAATTTTCCTTTAAAACAATAAAATCATTTCATTGTCTATTTAAGTTGTTTTTATTCCTATGTTTTTGCTATTTTATATGTTTTAAACTAAAAATAGGAAACAAATAGGAATAAAAAAAAGGAAAAAATAGGCCCCCCCAAAAAAATAGGAAAAAAATAGTAATAAAAACAATAAATAAATAAACAAAATATAGATTTAAAGGAAATTACTAATTTTAAAAAGAAATTAAAGGAAATAGTAAATTTTTGAAAGGAAAGTGAAAGGATTTTTTTGAGGAAAATGAAATGAATTTATTTTTTAAAGGAAAATGAAAGGAATTTATCATTGTTCAAAGGAAAGTGAAAGGAATTAATCATTTTTTAAAGGAAAATGACAGGACTTTCTATTTTTTAAAGGGAAATTAACGGAATTTATAATTTCTTTAATTGAGAATGAACGGGGTTAATAATTTGTTAAAGGAAAATAGAGTATGTTTTAAAGGAAAATGAAATGAAGTAATCAATTTTTATAGGAAAATGAACGGAAATTTGCTTCCAGTATGTTGCTTCCAGTCATTTGCTCTTCGTATCCATTTCATGTTCCTGTCCTAGAGTGCTGCCATTCTTTTCCTTTTTTTCCTTTCCTATTTCTAAATCCAGCTCTTTTCTTTTCCTATTTTTGAGACTCATCCTCTTTGTGTCCTTTCGTTTTCCTATTTTCCGCTCCTATTTTCTCTATGTTATTCCTATTATTTTCCTAAAATAGTTATTTTAAGGTTTTTCAGACATAGCAGGCAGCTTTATGTCATAAAAATATATATAGTCACTATAGATGCTATCGATCACAAAGCAGTCCGCTTCCTCGCTGATGGCGGCGCCGGAGCCCTTGATCTCCTGAGGCTTGATTGATTGAAGATGTTCAATACAAGGACCAAAAATATGAAAACCTTCGAACAAATCCTCTTTGTTTTGCTAAGGATCTTAGATGACAAAACGAGGTCAAGCAGCAAACATGCCATAAAATTTGAATTTTGAATCTTACATACATGGTCTTGGAAGGCCTGGGCTTCTGTATCATTGTCTTTGAGGTTTGAGGGGGGAACCTAGTGGTGCGAGTGACAAGCCCCGACAACCTCTGCTGCGCTAAAAACCTGCCTCCACACGCGCCTTCAAGACCTAAAAGTACAACCCATCTTGAGAAACGTTGAGATATGTTTTCCATCATGCATTGATCGACATCGTTCCATCTTTGTCCCCTGGCCGAAGCGTATGCTTGATCAAGAGCCACAATATCACATACCCCTGGTGCAAGTGATGATCTTCAGTCCACCTGCCACTTATCTTCCAAAACCGGTGTCTGGCCCAAAAAGCTATATTCTATCTACTGGGCACTCCCACAAAGAGCCCCTGCCCGACTCAACAGCAGTTTTTCAGTGGCGTGAAGTGACAGGTGCATTCAAGAAGTCCAACACTTCTAAGCGGATCTTCCTCTTACCACAACTCCCCCTCTCTCAGATCAAAACCCGAGCGACGCCACAGTCGTCAACGACGCACACGCCCGTGGCGCCCTCTTGGCCGCAGCTCTCCACGCGCCTGTGCATCGAACTGGTGGGACCATCGCCGTCGGAAGACTTGACCCTGAAGGGAACCGATATGGAACCCCCCCCTTTGCTAGTAAAGGACCACAAGGTGCCCTTTTCCACTGGTGTGAGGGGCTGTGAAGTGCGAAGTGCGGAAGTGGAAAGCCTGCAACCTAGGCACATCCCACTAGTCCTCAAGACCCGCCCAGCCTAGCGACATCCATGCCATCGATCACACGCCCGAAGACGCAATGCTTCCCGTCCAGGTGCGGGCACGCCTGGACGCTGTTGTGGTGAACTGCCGCTCGGACGGGTTCGCCGTTGCAGCCAGCCGATCGGACGGACGGCCATGATTCAGGGGCTGCGGGTGGCAGAGACCAACTTGGCGTCTGGGGCACAGATCAGTGAAGAAGCCCATTTAGAAGAAAAGAGAGAAAGTGTTGAGCTAGCCACTGACCACGCCTACTGTGTTGAGTCTTGTGAAGCGAGAGCCTGGAAGATTGGCCTTTTGAAACCGTCTTTCCTCTCAGCTGCACACATTCAGCAGTTTGGAGCTCTAGCCTAGTAGCATAGCTGGCATGTAGGCTAGGCTGCGTTGTTTGGACCCCGTCGCCTTCATGCAAATGAAGAACTGTGAAGAGTTGGTGTCCTGCACGTGTGTGGCTTTCACTGGGCTGTGATGGACCTGGAGGGGTGGCGTTTTCGGCAGACCATCAGGGCTTTTCGGCAACCCCACTAGCAACAGACCCTGCCCCTCTGATGCAACAGGCCCTAAACGTTGCATGCTCTACAATGTTTGTGGCTCTTGATCTGGTCATGCCCAGTTCCGACCGCACCGCGGTATGATGCACGCAAGCCAATATGACCCCGACCAAACCTCACGTTCCAACATCTCCTTGCCACTGTTGGCCATGCTGAGCAACCCAGGTGCGGTATGCTTCAAATTCCTTGCCAGCAAGCAGCGCAAACCCTCCGGGCTTGGCAACAGGCTTGGCCGAACATTTGCCGCTCCAGACATGGGACGACCCCCAAACAGGCCGAAGGGTAATTGCCAAGGGGCAGATTTTCATCTGGGAAGGTTGGCCCATACACTGACTCTCCACCAGTGCCATCGCCTCAAATCGAAGGTCAACAAATGGCTGTGGGAGCAGCTTTAAATCGTTGAGGCTTAACAGTTCCAAGTGTCATGCGCTGTGCAATCTGCTGCCATGTGGACTGTTGTTTGAAGAGATTTTCATGAGTCCTAGCCCCAACCCGACCAAAGGCCACGGTTTTTGACAAGCTGGGTCGAAGGCAAAAGGTTTGGGGAGAGATGTGGCTCTTGAATAATTAAACCGCGAAGGATATGCGAATGAACTGGATCTTTTCAGGCTACCTGGCCATTCTTGCAGCACACATTGTCACAATGACCCTTCCTCTCCAACCTCGCAACAAACCGCCAACACTATGTGGCGTATGTTCAGTCCCGGACTCCAACACCCTGGCACACAGAACTCTGTTCGTTGGAGGACTGGTTTTGACGACTGCTTTTCAACCTGTCAACCCTCGGCCTACAAGTCATACATGCGTGTTACACATATTGTGATGTTTTATGTTCCTCTGTGTTGGCACTACGGTACACATCCGAACGTCGGCAACATCTGGTGAGATCAAGTGTCAACAATCGAAGTCATGATGGATCATGATGGTTTCAAAACATATCATCTTGGACAATCCTTCAACTGAGAGATGTACATGTGAGAGTACACGCCATACGGTGACCTCATACAAATACATGTTAAATTTGAAGCATTTGTCCGTTTTAAAGGCTTAGAACATTCGCAGGTCCTGGCAATGAACGACAACATGTGGATGCAACTATCAAATGATTTCGTGATGTTTGTTCGTGGACGCCACGTGTGTTGACCATAGTTTAGCCGTGTTTTGTTTCACAGTAGACATGCGCCCAAATGGGCTGCTTGCACCTTGAATGAAATGAAACATGCTACACTACATGCTACATCATGCTACACTACAACTCTGCTCGTTAGGGAGTGGTCTAAACCGCGTGACCGGTCACGGAATGTCGATGGCTGCCAATGGCTTTCTCTGCGCGGGACCTGGCGCCTCTCACCCCACCAGCCGTGCAGCCATGTGTGAAGTCGCCCGCTTGGATCACGAAGTTGGGAACGATCCGATGGAAACGCACACCTCGTCACGGACGGTGATGGCGCCACTGGCCGAAACGGTTGGGCTGGCGCCGGGCGGGAACATGTTCAAGCGCTGCACTTGAAGCTGCGATGCACCACAACACCGCACTTGAAGCTGCGATGCACACCCAAAATGGCCAGCACCATGCCTTAATTAACAACCTGATGATCAATCCACACTAGTAACGGTTAGTAACGTCCCAATGGTGGTCATGTCCTGGACACATTCAACGGAGGCCCCACCTTTGTAGTGCAAGGGTTTCCCTGCGGCAGGGCGGCATGCATGCCGGCATCCGGCTCCCCTCACCAACACAAACCTTTCCAAAACGTTTGGGTCGGCTAGGAAACTCTTCCAGAATGAAATCGCAGAACGTGTGTGATGAAAGCGCTCTCACCTTGAACAGACCCCTCGCCTCGCTTGCCAAGGCCCCTCGTACCCAAGCAAAGGAGGCGGAAGTTTTCCGCTGTCTTGGGCACCACATCATTGAACAGTTCGCAAACCTTGCACTGCAGGGCAGGGCTTTTGACAGGTGCTTTGATGCTCACGCCACTCAAGTTGTCTCCAGAACCTGCCCTACCAATCCCCCTCGCCAGCCCCTGAAACTGCATCCAACATGTCGCTGTCATCCGTAGGTCGGGTGCAATGTTCCTCTGAGTTGCGATCCGCCCTGCCGGCGTGGCATCAATGGCGATGTCCAAGAACACGCGCGGTCGCCCCACCACATCCGGCACCACCTCGGCACTGAGCCGATTCGGCACTGAGCCCATGTGTCCCACATCGGTTGAAGCAACAAACGCAAAGCGACAACCAAAAACACCCCAAACCGTGTTCCTTTTGTCTTGCCTACAGGCGGGCACACGCCCCAGACTCACAAAACCTGCGATTGCCAACAGCGCAGTGACTGCCGCCGTGCGAGGACAACTTGAGAAGGGAGAACGAAAGCCAGGAGAGCTGACCTTCACACGCAAAAACCGTCAACCGGTAAGTCTGAGTAGAATGTCACCCAAACATTCACTACACATAACAGGTTGCCGATGCAAATCAGGCACTACCCGAGCCATTCACCTTGCCTGCATCACCAACCCAACAAAAGTCACCGCTTTGGAAAAGTAAAAATACCAGCCGGCTAGCGTGGTTTACAGTCTACATCCACTTGACCCGCCCTGCTTAGCCTCGTTAAAGACCTCTTTCGTTCGCAGGAAAGATTACTTTCAGCCCATCGGTTTAGCCAGAGTTACTTGGCATGTGCAACTCCTCTAAACGTGCCTCCTTCCTCCAAAGCCATGCAGTCCGTGCATGATGTTCAACACACGGGCTCCTGAAAAAGAGAAACTGGCTCCTGAAAGGCCTGCCAAAGCTGCTAAAGGCCTGCCCAGTGTTTTTTTGAGGATCTGCCAACATTGTGACACAATGCTCCCTTTTTATCCAGAAATCGTTTGCGTCTGCCAGCAAGTGTTCTGCCTGTCCGGAGGGGGTGTCCATGCACTTATTATAGCGTACTCCAGCATGCAACAAGAAACTACACCTGCTGAATGTTCAAACAAACGCCGCAAACCTGTGGTGTTTGCCTGGTGTTGCAAGGTGCACACCACGTCGGAAAAATTGGTTGCACCTGCTCTGTTGCCATTCTTTCCTGTCCTCACTTTAACCCCCCCTGCCAGTGACCTTCCAGCGCTGACATTAAAACTCATAAACTACAACTGTGTCCTTCAATCAGGTTGCTGCCGCTGCGACCAAATGTATTCTGCACCAAAATCAACCCGCCAAAAACCACCGCCTTGGCAAAGTACAGCCCCAAGACCCTCTAAATTCACGGCATTCACGGAAAAAAAATCCGTTTAGCTTACTGGCTAGCGTTCGCAATTCTTGCCACAACACGTCTGTGCGTTCCCTGTGTTTGGTGAAGGATGCTCCAATGTCCTGGTGCCGAGGTCGCGCCGACCATTGAACAAAAACCTTCCATCCATAGATCGTGACAAAACACGACACAAAAATACTTTGACACGGTGATACACGGTCCTTGTTTCCAATCTTCCAACCTGCACATGTGTGAAGGCAAAAGTTCCAGCGTCAAAGGCACAACCCCCCCACCGGACAATTTGTTGAATGACACTCGCATGTGGCTGTGCCACATTTCATCGTGCCCAAGTCCCCAAATTCCAAGCCAACAGAATCCCATGCACCGTTGCCTAGGTTCTCGCGCCCGCTGGAGGGCATTCCCGCGCGTCTCAACCGCCGAAAGGTGCAGAAAGCGCCCACGGCATGAAGCAATGGCCCACTTGGACAGAACTGTCGTCGAATTCGCTGACGGGTTTCGGCCCTCTTGGCACCAGTGTTGGCACTACGCATCCAAGCAACATGCCATTCATGTAAGAACATATCACATATGGGTCACCCTGCAATGCCCATCGATAAAGGACAAGGGATGGCTTGCCAACAAAAACCTGTTTGTTAATCCAAACCTGGCTAGTTGCATCACTCGTTCAGCTATGTATTGCCAGCATGTCCTGTCACGCTGCAATGAAAGGGCCGGTCAAGCATGAGCCCATGATTTCAGGGCGAGATATGATACAACCAAACAATCAGGCCTGTTTTGAGGCCAAACATGCCCGTCAAGCCCTAGGCCTGGAACTCGTCGCGCGTGACATCTCTGTCCTGGCAACCCCGCTTGTCGAAAATCAACAACCACAGCAACGTTGGCAACACAAATGCTTGCCAGAACTGCGTACTCCCCGTGGTCACGTTCAAGGCAGCCAGTTGCACCTGTCGGCTGGCGCGTCGGCAACAAAAACCCGTGAACACAAGAGCGTCCACTCGAATCACTACCACCCGTTGCTTGCACCAAAATACCAAAACACGTGCAGTTGCTGAACCCCGGCCAAGCATTGTGCCAACACGAAATAACCACCACTGCCCAAAGTGACATGCTGCGTTTTGAGTTTGCGTTAGCGCTGCCAACCGTGGCAACAACCCTGCTGCAGAAAGCGGGGGTCTCGGCTGCAGTAGCACTGGCGGCGGCCTTTTTGGATACATTGGACACCTCGCATTTGAAGTTGCAAAACGTTGTGGCGCGCTACCACACAGCAGGGTTTGCTCAGGGGGAATGCCGTACTTTGCAAAAAGTGAAATTACACAATGCTCCAAAGACTTGTGTTTTTGGGCCGGGGAAAACGCAAGAACAAGTTGCGGTGGAAGGCTAATTGGCGGCAAAGTAACAAACAATCATGCCGCGGATTGAACTACACGATCCACAAGTAGCAGGGCCAGGAGCGAAACTTCCACGAGACACGTTTGGCTCACGACACGTGACTCGTGTTTCTGCTTTCCAGTTGGGCGGGTGGCACAAACCCCGCCAAAGCAACTCTTCACAAATAGAAAGGTTGCCCAACACCTTTCCCACGGTGGTGAAGTTGCTGTTCCTGGGTAGGTTTTCCAAAGACATGTGTGAACCCCACTGTCACATCCATCACATGTGTGTTTGCCAAGGAACTCTTGTTGCAACTGGTATCATCAATTTTTTGTCACATCAAGTGACTGGAAGTAGGATGGTCCACATGGAGGTGTCCGATGCGACCGGATCACGCCAAGGTTACTAGGACCACATCAGGTTGACTTGCACCGGTCACCAGAATGTTTCGGTTTGGAATCCAACACTTCCAACTCCCCAGCAGTTGCAGCAGCAGAAGCAACAACAACAACAACAACAACAACAACACCGGGCGTTGGATTCCGACCAGGTTTTTGTTGTCAGCAGCTCCCTCCCCCCAAAATCGCCCGATAATTGGCCAGCACTGTGTGCCTGCGCACGCGAATCCAAGCAGCACCGCGTTTGCCGCTCCGGCTGGGGTTGTCATGCGCGGAAGTTGGCCTGTAGCAGCGGCATTGTTGTGGCAAACCATCCATGGTACTATCCTCCTCGGCGCCACTGGGGCTTCGGTCTACATTGGTTGTCCGCAAGGAATTTTCTATTATTTGGGGGCCCACGCTGGGGAAACACAAAGAACGCAGCAGACCTTAGTTGTTGGCAACGCCGCCAGTAGCGGGTTTGAATATGTTTTTTCAATTTTTGTTGGCTCAAATTAGTTTCGGGTGCTTCACGTCAGGGTGCCTCCATCGGGGGCAAGGGACAAGTTTTTTCTTGTATACTGTCTTCTTCGCCAATGCCAATGGCGCAGCAAAAAACATGTTTCAGAAGATGACGCAATAGACGCACGACTGGCCTAAATTGTGTGCCGCACACTTTTGGGAGCCTTCACGGAAACCATCCAGTTGGAAGTAGGTTTTCCTACCAGTGCTCAGGCACCTTCGAAAACATTCCATCCAGGTCTTTAAAATTGAATTGAGAGGTCAACGTCTTTTGTTCATGAACCGGCATCCCAGGCAGCCTTCCACTGGATAAGTTGGCGGGGCTGTTGGAGCAGCCCTCAAAGTTTGGCCGCTGCGGCGGGCATGGCAGCATGCTCTTCACCGCGCAGGTCGTTTAGTGTTGTTTTGCCGTTGATAGTTCAATTTCCATCAGCCTCAGGAACGGTGCTGGGCGGAGAAACCATCTCACATGCACGATTTCCATTTACTTCGTGAGGAATACGAATCCTTGCGCTGGGTTTTGCAACGTGGTCGCGACCTCTGCCACGCACGTCCGGAGAAAACAGATGAAGTGCCACGACTCCAACCAAGATCACGACCAGGGTCTACAACCAGTCTCCGGGCCTGCGCTTCGTGAAGTGCTAAAACGCCGCCCAGGGTTACACCCAGCGTCTACAACCACTTTCCGGGGCGGCGCTTCGTCAGGCAAATGCATTTGTTCGTCCCAGACAAACTAAATTGATGTGAGTTGGAACATTATTCTTTGAAGGCATACCACGTGAACTTTCCATCATTTGTTTCCCCCATCCAGACAGAACAGGTGACCGTGGAAACAACGGAACTTCCCACAGGAGCGGTGGCCAGGAGGATTAGGCATACCACGTGAGTTTTCATATATGAATTTTTACGTGCACGAACCGTCAAATTGCAAGGTTCTGAGCATTTACACCGTTCTTGCATTTCAACCACACTAGTAGCAAGCCAAGAGTCGAAAACCTGCACGTTGTGTGGCTAGAAAGAACACAACTTGAGGAATTGCGCTAACCGGGGAGCTGCCGAACGTTTTTGTTGCTGAAGCCACAAGCACAGGGCATTGCCAGAAAAAACAATCGTTTTCGGGTGTGTGCTGGCGGCCTGTCGAGACAAAGGTGTACAAAATTCAGGACATTGAAAAAGCCCGCTGCACAGCGGAGGCTTCCTGGGGAAGCCCGGCAGCCTACACGGGCATCTCCCGTGGATAGCGTGGATGGGCGCGATCGGCACTTTTTTGCACCTGCACTGCGCAGCCCCACTGAAAAGGAGGCCAAAGACATGTTGGCATTCGGCCCATTTCCTGATTGCAAGTCGTTTGTCCCTTGCGACCTGGCAACCCCGATCGAACTCAACACCCCCTCTTCGCTCTCACGCGTGATTTGTTGAAACCTTGGAAACCTTGCGAACGCGACGCACCTACCAAAGCCCCACTGCCACTGCAGGAGCGCCCCCGCGTCATCGCTGGCTTTATGGCCGGGGTGTTGGCACAGCTGACATGCGTGCCTTGTCCCAGGGCTGAGGGGGGCCCATAACGTTTTCAAGGCGTGTCGGTTTCCCACATGCACTGGAGAAGCGGAGAACCGGCCGTGGTGCCAATTTTGGCTGCTGAACTTGAAACGAACGTAAAGAAACAAGATGGGTCATGACGTGGTGGTTTGCTTCGCAAGCGTCATTGAACCACGAGCTGGGCATGGCATGGGTGCACTTGCTAAATCACGCCAGTGCAGGGCCACCAAAGCACGAAACCAACAGAAAAATCCAAGAAAAAACACTTCATCCAACTTTGGCAGTTCGCGCTTGCATGGCTGTGGGCACCATTCGGTCCAAAAAGCATCACAGAAGCCCAAAAAACAAATGCACGACCCTCACTGGAAAATGTTTGCGGACCAATTTTTGCTGCTCCACGACGTGGAAGCGAACGGACAACAGAGTAGGTCATGTTTTCGGTTATCACCCTGCTCGACAAGCCGGAGTCGTCGCCACATTCGTTAGCACCTGCAAAGCTGCTCCAACGGACACCCACACGGCGCGAGCCCCGCGAACGTTGACTCCGGCGTCCGCATGCTTATTCCACAGGCCCATGGGCCCACACACGCGGACATGCAAACCGCAAAACGCACTCAATGCTAGATTCAGCGTCGCAATGGCCAAAACATACCGATAACTTCCTTTTGATTCGTTCTGGCACCGTTTTTGTTGGCCACAACAATCGAAACCTGGCAGGTAAGTCGGGTACAATCACTCCAAAAGCTCACAACCAATGAAGGACCAAAATTGAACAGTATTAGGGCAGTTTCCTTTCTCAAAAAGATTGTCACATCTTTTCGGGCGAATACATTGCGTTCACAGGGGGTTTTGCGTGCAGAGATTCTGAGATGCTTTGTGTTGAATCAAACCCATCTAGCGATGAATCCCGAAGAACTCACAGAAACAGCAAATGCCAAGGACAAACCGACGTTTAAAATGCGGAACCCTGGCAGAAACCCTCAACGACCAACCCGCGCACGCAATCTTGCAAAATCCTGTTACATTGTTGCACTGAAGCTTCAACTAGTGATCAAACATCCTCCAAAAAAGCTGCAAGATGTGAAACAATCAAACCCAAGAAAACAAGTAAGGTTTCATGCATCGTCTGCGTGGAATTCAGGATGATGAAGTGCTTGGCTGCCCAGCCTCCCATGTCCTGTCAGCTCCACCGACTGAAAGGTCGGATGGTGGTCCATGCGCTCAGTGGCCCCCCAACATGCGTTTGGTGGGTCACGAATTTCACAACGCCTCCTTCACATGCTTTGGTTTTGACCACCTTCCGTTGATGCATCTTGGCCAGAATCATGGTAGATTTATCTCAAGAACCATTGGGTTGGACGCACATCATCTTAAAAAAAATTGACGTCTAAAGCACCTTGCAATGATTGTGGATTTCTATGACAAAATTGAATCTACCCGCAAATGTTTTTTGATTGCAAATCTGCAACTGTGTGCCGCAATGTCACGTCGTTCATCACTCAGCAACATCAGCAAACCAAAACGACACCGTAGACGAAAAAAATGACGCAAAAAATGCAGCAGCAAAACTTGTTGCACATCTTCACATCAAAACCGCAATGAGGTCCAACTTGACGACGAAGTTCCACAACAAACAATAGATGTTTTTGCAGACTCGAAAAGAACAAAAAGTGGCGCACAAGATTGCCACATGA